GGTTGGGGGCGGGGTGCGGGCCTCGGGAATCCCGCGACCCGCCCAAGGTCTCAAGAGGCCCACTCCGTTTTCGGGGTTCGAACCTGCATGACTTGAACGTCACTGTGAACTTAATGCCAAGGCAGAGTCTCGCTGGCATTTCCGAGGAGAATTCCGCTTTCAACCTGCTTCTCCCCGAGGACGGCGACTGGGGAGGGGGGAGTCGGTCTTTTGCCACAAGAGGGTGCCCTGAGGCTCCCTAGTCCCCCCTTTGGCCTCCCTTTGGCTTCGTCATCGCGGCGTAAAACGATTGTGTTTTAAGGGCAGAAACGTTTGAAGAAAATGCCTTTCCTTACCCCCTGCCCCCTGTTTTTAAAAAATATGTTTTTACTGATTTTACTTTTTAAAATCCTCAAGCAAGGATATTTTCCCATTGATATTTAGAGAGAGTGGAAGAGAGAGGGGGAAAGGCAAGAGAAAGATCCTCACAGGGCCCAGGGGGGAGGAGCCTGCAACCAAGGTTCATGGCCTTGATTGGAATCGAACCCAGGACACTTTGGTCCAAAGGCTGGTCAGGGCTGTATTTTTTTTTTTTAATTGATTTCAGAGAGGAAGGGAGAGAGAGAAACATCAATGAGAGAACCATTGTTGGGCTGCATCTTGCACATCCCCCAGTGGGGATCCAGCTGAAAACCGGGCTTATGCCCTGACTGGGCATCTAACTGTGACCTCCTGGTTCATAGGTCAGTGCTTAACCACTGAGCAACACCAGCCGGGCTGTTTTTATTGATTTTAGAAACATCCATCGGCTGCCTCCTGCACCCTGACCAGATGGAGCTCACAACTTGGGGCATGTGCCCTGACCAGGACTCCAACAGGCGACCTTTTGGCATCGGCCAACCAACTGAGCCCCATTGGCCAGGGCTCCTACCCCTTCTGAGTGCATATGGCTTAGACTTTTATTAGTGTCTGCTCCTTGGTGAGAGGGAGGACCTTGCCATGTAGCTATGGTCATCTTCTGGTCCTGGAGCCCTGCCCAGAAATCGGGTGGTGCAGACACTCAGTAAAAGTTAACTGATTGATAATAATGTTTAACCCCACCAGGGTACAGGTCCTGTGGGCTCTAGATTTCTACCGCACTTGGCCTCACAGTACAAATTTTGGCCAATCCTGCCTCCCTGACCTCTCTCAGGGATTGGCTTATAGAGTACCACCCACCCAATAAAAACCCTGCATGAAAATCTCAGAATCTGTTTCCTGAGGAATTCAACCAGTGAGGGTTGGTACCAAGAGTGGTCCTGGAAAAAGACTCCAAGATGGAAGTTTGAAGTTGGGTCACCTGCCAGCCCGTTGGTAATGAGAACCCTGGTGGCAGTGGAGCACTGATAGCCCCGCGAATGCTATGGCAATTGTTAAACTTTCAGCAGTGGCAAACTAGAATGGGGTGCAGGAGGGAGTGCACCAACAAATGCAGTATTTCAGGGTTTTTAGGAAATGGTAATTGTAAGAATTTTGGAACTGAATGGTCATCTGTGTGTGTGTGTGTATGGGGGAGAACTCATTAATTCAGAATGAAAGAAACATTATTAAAGAAAGATAATGAAAAATAGAGTGGTTAATTGCCGATATCAGAGCAAGTGTGGAAGCCAGAGGGTCTTTTTAGCAGCGTATAAAATGATTCACAAATCCTGTAGCCAGAGGGCTACAGTCAAGGGCACATGCCCTGGTTGGGGGCTCCATCCCCAGTTGGGGGTGTGCAGGAGGCAGCCAATCAATCATTCTCTCTCATCATTGATGTTTCTATATCTCTCTTCCTTTCTCTCTGAAATCAATAAAAATATATTTTTTAAAAATTGCCCTAAAATTTGCATATACAACATTTACCCTTCTTTTTCATTAGGTGAGAGAAAAATCTGGAAGGAACCAAAACAAAAATATGGTTTGACCATTTAAAATCTGTATAGGAAGAGCTGCCTCTGAACTAGCAGGACCTAGAGTGGTTCCATTCCACCATCTAGTGGACAAGAGAGAAAATTAGAGCAAAATAATTGATCTTAGATTTTGTTGTCAACATCTGTAATTTACCAATCATGTGTTTTCTGATGAGTCCTAGAGGCCCGGTGCATGAATTCATGCACGGTTGGGGTCTGGCTGGCCCACCCTGATGGGGGCCGATCAGACCAGGCAGGCAGGGGGAAGGGAACACGGGAGGTTGGCCAGCCAGCCCCACCCCCAATCGGGGTGGTGGGGGCCAATTGGGGACGGGGCAGGCCGGGGGAGGGGCCGCGGGCTGGTTGGCTAGCCGAAGTGTGCATCATAGTGACCTGTTGTTCCGGCGTTCTGTAGATAATTTAAACTCCCGACTGAGTTCAGTTCTTAATAGATTCATTTAAATTTTGTAAAGCAAAACAACAACCCAATCTAAGCATTAAACACTAAAACTGTTTCCTGAAACATTTGTATTTACAAACTGTGAATTTTGAAGATGGTCTGTGGAAGGAAAAGAGCATGCTCTCGAGGTCTTATCATGAATTTTTCTGGCGTACCTTCCCCATTTATTTTATCCATCTCTATAAATCACTTTTGCATTTATTTTGGTACATAGACTAGAGTAGCCTTGAGCCTCTGAGGGTTATGTCTTCCCCAAAATACTGGATGAAATCAGTGGGGAAATAAAAATCATTCCATTTCTCAAAAATGTACACTAAAAATGTTGGTATAGCCAAGATGAATATTTGTTAAGGCCTGTAGGAATATGTATGCACATCTTTCCTATTTCTATTTCTAAGGTCATTTCCTTACATGCCTATGAAGATTTCCATTTTGTCTAGGGTGAAGACATTGGCAGCCAAATCTCCCCAAAAAGTTAAGATGGCAGCATACTTGAAGTGGCCAGTGCTGTCTGAGATTGTTTTCACTCTTGCTACTACTAGCCATAATAATAGCAGGTGCTGTGTATTGAGCTTCTGTGGTGTGCCAGGCACACATAACACTAACTCTCCAACTAACCTCTACTATAGATATTGCTACCTTCACTTTTATGTGAAAGACTGATGCTTGGGACCAGTCACCAGCAAATCCTGACTATGCCCAGGGCCTGACTAAGGTGAATAATCTCAGTCTGACTGTCTGGCTGACTGACTCAGTTTCTTCCCCTGGGAAATGATACACTTTGACTAAGGGATGTCCTTTAAGGTTTTCTCTGATTCTAAGAATTCCTT